GTTTCCCTGTAGCCCCAACTGGCCTGGAACTCACTATGTAGACCAGGCTGGCCTTGTACTCACAGAGATCCACCTGCCTCTGCCTCCCAAGTGCTGGGACTATGGGCCTGTGCTGCCATGCCGGCTTTGTTTTATAATTTTAAGACAGGGTTTCACTGTGTAACTCAGGTTTGCCTTGAACTCAGAATCCTCCTACCTCATCCTTCTAAATAGCTGGGGTTACAGCTGTGTACACCCAAGCCAGGCTGAATTAGGGGAACTTCTGAAAGACATTTGACTCTGCTGAGGAAGAAAACTACTATTTTTTTCTGAGATAGAGTCTTGCTATGTAGCCGAGACTAGCCTCAAACTCACAACCCACCTGCCTCAGCCACCTGAGTGCTGGGATTATAGGTGTGCACCACCATGCCTGGCAGAAGCCATTTTAGGGGGTTGGGGATTTAGCTCAGTGGTAGAGTGCTTGCCTAGCAAACACAAGGCCCTGGGTTTGGTCCTTAGTTCTGGGGGGGGGGGGAGAGAAAATAACGAAAAAGACCAAAACCATCCAAGGCAACTAAAATTTTTTTGAAATTTGTTATTATTATTATTTTTTATTTATTTATGTATATGAGTATATTGCCTGCATGTAGGTAGGTGTACCCATGTCATTGCAATGCCTGCAGAGGTCAGAAGAGGGCATCGGATCCCTTGAAGCTGGAGTTACCATGGTTGTTAGCCACCATGTGGTTGCTAGGAGTCGAACCGGGTCCTCTGCCTGAGCAGTGCTCTTAACCGATGAGCCAACTTTCCAGCCCCCAGCCATTTTTAAAATGGAGACAGTGGTACCTGAGTCACTGAGCTCTTGTGGGGGTTAAGTCAATCAACAATTTGGTAACTGCCTGATACATGACAAGTACTCAGAAAAGAGTTCTTTATCCTCTTCTCCATCCCAACCTCCAAAGACGCTAACCACTCTATAATAGTAAAAGTCATCTAAAAATTCATGGTATATCAAGGCCTAGTGTACTTTCCTGAATAATCTGGGAGTATCTGTCAACAGTGGGTTCTGAGTCCTGCGTCTATCTTGCTGTTTTGCGGTCCTAATCTGCATGGGAAGGCTCTGTGCTTGGGCCCTCCCTGGCTGCCTCTCTGAGGTGTCACAGAGAAAAATCTCTGCTTTTAAACAATGGCTTTATCTGTCTCCAGGGGTGTTTATTTAACAGTTTCTCATTTTTGGTCACCTACCTTATTGCTAGTTTGAATTTTTATAATATAAAAAAAAAAAGTCACATCTTGCATCCCCTGGGGTTGCAGAAACGAGTTGGTATTTTGCTTTATCGCCTTCATTTTCACTTACTGAGCCCTGTGCAGCCAGGACATCTGCGAAACAGAAAGGACTGAGAGTCACCTCCTGTGCTTTGAGCAAGCTAGAGCCTGGCTACTGGGCCTCTGTGCAAAGCTGATGCCCATCACAGTCATGCCCCAGAGTGTATCATTAATAAAGTTCCCCGTTCTGTTTATTTGCAGCAGAACTCAAGGGAAACCCAGCTGAATCAGTGCCTGGGGGCAAGCTGTGTGAGGCATTGAGATGTTTTATTTGTCACTGTGCTGGGCAGGCTGGTAAACATGGACGCTGGAGACTCATCTTTCCCCTTTGGTCTTTTCATGAAGAGAATGGAAAGCTTATCTGAAGGATGCTTTATGCAAATTCTTCTCTTGGGATCCGAGTCCCCAAAGACTCAGTTTGTATCTGTGTACAAACCTTTGATCTAAGTGGCTAAAATTATTTCTAAACCAATGATCAAAATCAAAGTATTTGCCTAGAGGATCAGCTGTTAGATAGCTCTGTTCCTTTTAGTCTGGGTTTCTTGCTTCCTACAATAATTCAGGAAGCAGTTTATGTGTTGTAATTCATTTTGCATTAAGATAAACTTTTTTTGCTTGTTTCAAATGAAAAACAAAAAAATAACCTCTTGAGGTGAGAATAAGAAATACTCCTACTTTGGAAAATTAACATTTAAACATGTGCTCTTTGATTCATCATTCCTCCTTAAAAAATTTCAGGAGTATTAAATGCCCATATCTACAAAGAAATTGGTACAGGAATAGTCATAGTAACCCTATTCATAATATTTTCAAATTGGAAACATTATAAATGGCTACCAACAGAAAAGGATAAATTTGATATAATTATACAAGAGAACATTACTCAGCAATAGAAGGAGCAAGCAACCAACATACATGTGAGATGGGTATATTTAAAAATCATTATGATAAGCTGGGCATGGTGGCTTATACATGAGTCCTGGGATTTAGGAGGCTGAGATGGAAAATCTTGAGTTTGAGGCCAGTCTGGAAAAATAGGGAATAGGCAACATAGCAAGATCCTGCCTCAAAAAAAAAAAAAAAAAAATAGCCAGGTATCGTGGTACAGATCTATAATACCAACATTTGGGAAACGGAGGAAGGAGGATTACTTAGGAGTTCAAGGCCAGTTATGGCTACAGAGTAAGTTCAAGGTCAGCCTGGGTTGCATACTGAGACCCTGTCTCAAAACAAAACAAAAAAATCAAAAAAATTAAAATGAAAGATGCCAGATACAAGATACATATGGAAAAATTCCATCTATATGAAGTTCAAGAATAAGCCAAATGAATCTATGATTATAGAATTCAAAAGAATGATTCTTCCTAGGAAGAGTTATTGACTGGTTATGAACATGAAGGAATTTCTTAGGGCACTGGGATTGGTTCATATCTTGGTCTGGGTGGTGGTTATCTGGGGATGCATATATGTATGCATAAATATTCCCTAAGTTATACAG